TGGTACCACCAAGGTTACAAAGATCCTGTTCCAACTGATCGTCAAAAGACAGTAGCCGTCGTACAAGTAGAATATTCGAAATTCATTACTAGTAGGTTTCAAACCCTCTACCTGGCCGACATATCGCTTGGGGGTGTGACAACTTAACCACTTCACTAAGTCACCACACCCTTTAAATAAATAATAAATTAATATAAAATCAAATAAACATATTATAATAATAAATATATACAGTCAAACCTCTCTATAGTCACCTCCTCTATAGTCACAAAATTATTATAATTACAAATTTATTTTTACTAATTATTTATAACTATATAGAAAATACCTCTATATTAGTCATATCTCTTTAGGGGAGTGCCGGAAATCATGTAATTTATACTATGGATATATGGTCAGATGAGAGATCATATACATATATATATATATAATATAGTATATAATCAAATATAATGAAATATATAATCTATAAAGAAAATTTATTAGTTTACACATAGTGTGCAAACACGGATCATCACTTTCATAATGATAAATGTTATAATTGCTTACATCATCATATAGTTAAATAAATAGTAAAATAACAATTGATTGTTAAAATTCGCACTCTTTCTTCTCATGCTTTTACCCTCTTGCGATATTGTTATTACAGTTTCTTTTAAAAAATAAAACTCTTACGTAGATGATAAGCCAAGAAAATACTATTAATGATGATAAAGATGTCACTTCAACTTCGACGTGAGACCACGTGACTATTTCTACCATTTTGGGGTCATAAGAAGACTTCTCTTCGGTTAACTAACACAAATCAATTCAGACCAGTCGATAGTTATACAGTTTAGATTACTTTTTAAAAAATGTGGTACTATGAAGGTCTAATGATACACGATTCACTTTATCTTATTTTAACAAACAGGAGATACTCTAAACTGTATAAATAATAGTAGTTTGAATTAGTTATATCAGTAAATCAAAGCGTCTTCCTATGAGTTCTTTGATCTTTATTTCATTTTGTATTTTCATTACTAATCAAAAATTTCATTTGAACAGGTTTACACACCAAACTTTACATCAATCAGTTATGTATTAGTGGATTATGAATCTGACGAATCAGAAGAACCCTTCGATTGTTCAAAAACAACTACTGAATTTATCCTTTTTAACTGTAAAGATAGTAATACTGTGGTGGATAACAAGCATAACAGGTTAAATATGTCTAAACATGCCTTTCCTAACCAAGACTATGTCAATATTATGATAGATGATAAATTTGATGGATTAGATGAACTATCTAGTTCTTTGAAATTGGCCTCTGACCCTATCTACTTAACCAGGAAGACCTTAATGCCATTGTGGATAGTGATACTGATGAATCCGATAAGCCATCTGACTTTTTAAAATTAACTTCTAGATGTATGTTTCCTAATTGGGATGAATTCAAGAATTGGATACACCAATTTGTATTAAAAAAGGGATTCAATTACAAGACTAGAACAAATGAAATAGTTCAAGGTATAATGAGAAGGGCCACTTACGAATACACTAAGTCTAGATCTTATAATCCACATGTTACATCAGATCCTACAAAGAGACGTAATACTTACTCATAGCGAACGTTATGTCCTTGGAAAATTAATGTCACATGTCCAAAAACAAGTGTCATTGTAAAAATTAACTCTTTTAACAATAAACATAACCATCCGCTTACTCAATGATCCAAGAAATAGCACCATGATTTCAAAAGTTAACAAAGGAGATGCTATCTAACATAGAAAAGTATGTTATCCAAGGGCGTATAGATTCAAGATCTATATATCCCTTATTAAAATATGATTACCCAAATTAACCTATCTACAAGCGCGATTTATATAATACGGTTTACCAGCTTCAGCAAAAAAATAATCCAGGAGATGCAGATGCCTCACGGATGCTTCAGATGTTAATGGATTGGAAGGATGTAGATCTACTTTAGATTATAAAAACTCGATTGGACCTAGTCTCAAGAAAGTTAATTTCACTTTTGTGGATATCTCCTATTCAAAGAGAGTTATATAGCAAGTATAATGATGTTGTTATACTAGATAGCACTTACAATACCAACCGGTTTCAGATGATGCTTTGCATCATAACTGTAGTTGATAATAACTATAGAACCAGAATTGTGACATATGCCATCATTGAAGACGAAACATTGGATACTTACCGATAGATATTTGAAAGTATGCTCACTAAAACAGGTATTTCTTCTGGACTTATTTTTATTAATTCAGATCCCTCTATGATTCGGTCAATCAAAGAAATTTATCCCAGTGCCTAGCATCTGTTATGCATTTTTTATATAGATTTGAACCTTTAAAAAAAGCTTAAAGGGAAGTTGGGCAATAAATTTGAAGAATTT